ATTTATGTGATTTTAACAGTTGCATGGCAGGCAAAGCATGTGACTGATAAACCCTTTCCTGACATGGTTGATACGCTGATGTGGAAAAGTGAGTGACCTGCCAGAAAAAAAAGGGTTTTCAATCCTACCTATAGATATGAGTGCTGAGATTGGGGGGGGGGGGGGTTGGATTGGGAAAGAATTTTTTCACATGTCCAGGTTATACGGTTGGTCATATGGCACCTTCTGAGAACAAATGAAGGTCCCAACAGATGCAAGTGATTTTATCTGCAACCCTCCATATGTTGTCGGACAGAGAGTTCAGTTGGTAGAGCATGAGTCTCTTTATCTCAGGGTTGTGGGTTGGAGCCCTACGTTGGGCAAAACATTCCTACGCTTCAAGGGGTGGGACTAGACGGCAACTCTACAATTCTATTACAGTGGTACCTCTAGTTACGAACTTAATTCGTTCCGGAGGTCCGTTCTTAACCTGAAACTATTCTTAACTAGAGGCACGCTTTCGCGAATGGGGCCTCTTGCTGCTGCTGCTGCACCGCTGGCACACAATTTCCATTCTCATCCTGGGGCAAAGTTCTCAACTCGAGGTAACTCTTCCAAGTTAGCGGAGTTTGTAACCTGAACTGTTTGTAATCTGAGGCATTTGTAACTCGAGGTACCACTGCATTCTAAGGCTCTTTATTTCCCCAACAGGATCATGGTTTCAGGCTTGATCCCCAAATGGGACACTTGGTTTTCCTGCCTTCACTGTCACTAGGTAGGCTCAATGATGAGCCCTCACATGTAAGATGTGATGTGTGAGAGAATGCATGTGCAAAATCATGGTACCTTTATTCTGTGAACCTGCGGGTATAGGGTGGTATATAAATTCAATAAATAAATGAATACCTTGGGACACATTCTTATACTAAGATCCAGCAGATGATGGGGTTAAGATATTGGTCAGAAAAGTCTGTGGAGGATTGGTTTGGCCCTTCACTGGGTGCTACGGTTTAGCTTTACACTTGAACAATCTCAGAGCCTCGTCTGAGTTCCTCCATATGACGTGAACATCCCACTGTAGGATTGATGCTTGTGATGGAAACTACAGCATGATCTGAGAAGCACAGCAGAATAAAAAATGTCAACGTCTATGTGGAAATGGAGCAAGTTGGCACTGGCCTACCCTGTCTCCTAATCTGCCCAATTATCCCAGGTATAAACCATAATAGAAAGTGCTTAAGAAGCCATAATCACACAGTGCAGAAAGAGGAGAGCCATGTGGTTGCTTTTTTGTTTTGCTTAATTGATATAATTAGCAGCTTCTTGGTGCCAAGGGAGCTGAGTTTTATATTCGCTCCATCTCTTCCTCAAGAAGAACTACATTTGGGAGCAATAGCAGTTAGTGAGCTTGAACTCTGCTACGTGTTTTTATGGCAATCCAACTTTATTTCAGAAAGCAAGCAAGCCAGGATACCAAACTACTTCTGGAAGCCAGTTTTTAGTTTATTTATGTCTGTCGGTGTTATTGTTTTCACTCCCACTTTCCCTTTGTGGTGAAGGTTCCAGGGCAGCTTTGCAGGATCGGTTTTTCTTTTGAATAACAGAGCAATGGAGAATTCTGGTGCATTTTGCAATAACTGTTTATTTACCAATGTGCAGATCAGGCACGCAGCAAGCCAGTAGGACCATGTAGGTGGTGCAGGTTCCAAAATGGCATCAGTTCCTAAGCAACAGCATCATCTCTAAACAGAAAGCCTGTCTCTTCAGCCAACCCCTGAAACTTAGAACTTCTTTTCTCTTCTTCCTTTAGTCCAATACAAATTGCTTCTTTTCCAGGTCTCTGGCTGACCCGGTTGCACAACCCCTTCCTACATCCAAATATCTGAAGCAATCTGCTTCCCTGGTTCTCCAGTCATTGTCCGTGTCCAAGTCACAAACCAAAATAGAAGTTTTGAAGAATAAAAGGGCAGCATGACCTGTATTATTACTGGGTTCAGGGGCACTCATCTATCTCAGAAAAACCCTGCTGTTAAATAATAAACTGGCTTTTATAACCATACACTTTGCAGTATTTGAGTCTTTATATTTAAAGACTTACCTGATGCAGCTTTCTCTGAAAACATAAGGTAGATATTAGGGGCTTCATCAAGGTTATCTTATAAAACCATATGTAGACCCGTCATTTGTTGAGTACTGGAAATTGCATAATTCTTTGGATTTACAAGATGTAGTTAACATGACTCCGTTGTACTTGGTGGTTTTCCAAGTACTCAGACCTCCAAATGATACAAGTGAAGGAAGGGAAACACTGGGTTATCACCCTCTGCTAAACCTAGCCATTGTCATGGGCCGACTACTAGTTTGAGTAGACTCACAAGACTTTCAACAGGTGTTTCCCCAAGAAACAGATCCCCCCCCCACAAATAATTCCAAAACTGAGATGCAGCAAGGCATGGGAAAGCAAAACCTGTGGAGTACTTTATAACAAATTGGCATGCTGAGGATATGATATTATTCCATTGGCATTCTGTAAAGTTTATTTTCTTTACTAAGAGTTTTATTCAATTTCTTTTGTGCTGGAGCTTTTAGTCCCATTGCAAGTTGTTACTGAACACCTATCTCTATGGAACAGCTTTCCAAAGCAACTTGTTCCACCTTGTCTTCACTACACTTTAATGGAAGCAGGGGTGGGGCAGACCTCATTTCCAACCCAAACACATATAGGAAAATAGTAGGTCACAAAGTAGTAAAACCAGCATCTACAAGCAATGTTTTGGAGTGCCCATTCTTCCCCTAGCTGCAGTTGCGGCTTGAGCCAGAAACCTATGATTCTCTATAGACTGATTGAAGTGGCCAAAAGATACTACAATAGAACACAAGACACATTCTCCCTTAGCGCCAAGAAAATGTTTAATTTTCACTTGCATTAGTATTGCACTTAAGAGGTTTTGCAGATTATTTCCAGGACAGCTGAAACATTCATGTTAGATGAAACAGTATCCACATTTCAGAATTTACCATACAAACAAAAGATTAAGAAATTCAGCTTGTATTAGGTGGATGAAGGATTTCCCCTTCTCCTCCATTTGCTGACTCATTCAGATGACACAGTAGCAGAAACAGGTATCAAACCCAGCTCTTTAACTGGGCTTAAATCCTTCTTTTTGAGCTCTTCAGCTTTTATGGAACTAAAGAATTCTGATTTTAAAAACCCAACTACTTCTCATCAGTGTCACATTTGACTTACACTACTGCAGTTCCTATACCAAACCTGCAATTTTTATTTTGTTTTGTATTATAAACAAACAAACAAAAATGAGCCAAACCACAACCTGCCATTCCATAGGAAATGATGTTCAGATATTTTATTTATTACTTGGTTTGTGGAAGAGGATTCTGAAGACATCATGGCAGTTCAAGCTAGCCTTGAATCTGTTGTGTAAAGGGTAGGCCTGGGGGAGAATTTCAGTTCATTTCACATTTAAAGGTGAACCTACCTAATTACATTCCAAAACAATACATGAACCAAAACATAACCCCATTCTTCAAAATTTACACAAAATTTTGGACTGCAGCTCTCCAGCCAATAATGTGTACAAAATGCATATACTAGGATAAAGTTTGCATAAAAATGCATTTGTTAGTGAATATAGCTTGCAAATGACATTGCAAAAATGTGTTTATTAGGCAATCTTGCATACAGAAATGTGTGTATTAGGAGATATTTGCACTATGATGCTGATGAAATTTCTTGGGGACGTTATTAATTAAAAAAAGAAATCACAAACTGGTGTGGAAATGGGGAGTAAATTTAAGATTGGAAACATGGGAAACTGAGAGAAACCAAAATTGATAGATTCATCAATTCATCCCTAGTAGAGGGGAAAGGTTATTTATTTTAATAACAGTATATTGTGAGGAATGACAATGTACATTGACAGCAACAGCAGAAAAATTCAGAAGAGCATAACTGTGCTTCCTATAAACTGACTGCACTGCACCTGTATGCTGTAATTCTGAACAAATCCCCAGACACTTTGCAAACAAAGAAGATCAACTAGTCTGATGTTTGAATACTGTAATGAGGAGAGATGGATTCTGCATTTTTTCACCTGAAGTGGCTAATATCACTTCTGCCAACGTGCTTTTTCTTTGATTTGATTTGAGTTTGGAGGACTGGTGCAGAATTGCCCTAGAATATCTGTGTTACATAAACTGGAGCCACTGTGTGATTTTGTTGAGATCCACCACCTACACAGGAGACCAAACAGTATTATCAAAGGAATTTTCATGCTATATCATTCCAGAGGTATAAAACCTCACACCCTCTCTTTCCATTTCCTATCAGGTCAAATAAAGCCTCTCCTCCTTCCGGAGGGGAGGGATTGTGAGCGGGAGACAATTCCCGCGTCACGCAGGGGGCATTCTGCCCCCTGCACTCTCATCATCGCTGGCGCACCACGCCTCCCAGTTGGGCACCCAATTGGGTGCCACCGCGGGGGCGTGGTTTAGCTGCTCAAATGCGGCCGCGCCAGCTCTCCTCACCATTGCGCTTCAGATTTTCCAGCTTATAGTTGTATTTGCATCAACAGGCTCCCCCTGCTGTTGGTTAACCCCTCATCAGACTCACCCCTCTCCGAGTGGGTGGAGTCAAATTTGCTGTGGTCCAATGCCTAAGCCAATACCTTCTCACATACCTTCTCTCATGCTGTAATCAATAAAGTTGTGGCCTTTTCTTGCCCATTAACCTAATATACTGTGTTCACATGTTTTCATTCCCCAAGCGGGGATTGGGTCCTTGAATCACAAGCAGGAAGCACAGATATTCCATCAAAGGAAGCAAGAACGTGTAGCCATTTGCATATGTCAGTCGTGCCTCCTGAGCGTCTATGCAGGCCACTGGTGCTGCAGTAACTTGCTCAAGTCTTTGACCATTTAATGATAATCAACAGGACACTTTCTGCACTGTGCTATGTGCACACATGCTGTGTTTGATTGACTTGTCTGTTTATTTCCTTTAGGCGTCTGGATGCCAATTTGATCTCTGTGGTACCCGAGAAGAGCTTTGAGAGGCTGCCCTCCTTACGCCACCTTTGGCTGGATGATAATGCTCTGACAGAGATCCCTGTCAAAGCACTCAACAACCTGCCGGCTCTACAGGCCATGACACTGGCCCTCAACCAAATCTGGCACATTCCTAACTACGCCTTCCAGAACCTCACCAGCCTTGTGGTACTGTACGTGCCCCTTTTTACTTTCCATTTATTCTTTCGTTCTTTCTTTCAGAAGCCCATTTCTCATAACACAATGTACTGTTTAGACAAGCAGGAGATAGTTGCTTGATCAGTGTTTCAGTCTGGGCCGTGTCTCATAAAGGAAATCTCCTTAGTCTACGTAGCAAGTTCATAAAGGCATGGTTTTAGAAGTTTTTAAGCAGTTTTCAGTGTAAAGCTGTCTTCACAAGATACAGTACAGAACAAATTAAAGAAATAATATTACTTCCAGTAACTGCCCATTTCCATATGGGACACATTTATTTCACAAGCAAGTTTTCCCCACCCCACAGAATACCATACCATGATTATAACAATGAACTCTAATAACCACAAAAATGAGCACACCAGCGAAAACATCAGATAAAATGAAACATACAGTTTTAGCACCAATGCACATGAGTAGGACCACAATATATTTTTAGGAAATCACACCTGTAGGTTATTTAGGGCTTGCTTTAACCAATAGCTTCTAGGTTTGCCCATCTTCTCAGATGGAAAGTTATGTGTGTAAATTTGTTAACTGTATATTCTTTGGTGTTGATTAGGAAGTTTTGCTTGTGATTGCCAGCTGTCTTAGAATTATTACCATACTTATGAGATATAGGATTGAAACAGCTACTCCCACTCTGGAAATACGCATGCTTTGTGGCTAGGCTATAAAAAACATCGTCAGGAAACCAATACTAAGCCAAACTGTAGCAAAAGTGTTTAATGGTAAGACTACTACATGCCTTATGAAAAACAAATGAGGAAAAGAGGATTTCCTAAATTCTTTATGCATTGACTTCAACTGCCTGAACAAAATACAGCAGATTGTTTGAGAGTGATGATTAGAAAAATTAAAATATGCAGTTTATTTCCCAAAAGCTCCCGAGAGGCTTATTGTGTAGGACTTTTCAAGCTGCTTGGAGAAAACAAAAATGATTCAGGCTACTTCTATTAGCGCAGGAACAAGAGAAAAATAATAATGAAGTGTTAAATCATGTACCTCGTGAATGATATTCTCCTGTATTGACAACACTACAAATAGAAATATCTAAATATTACCATTCCTTGGGGGAACTCTGTGAGCTAGTAGAGTTTTGGCCTTGGTGTGGCTACACTTGGAGATAAATTCCCACCCAGCCACGAAGTTCATTGGGTGCAGTGCTTACTAGCCTTGTGAGGATAAAATGATAAAACTTAAGAAATAAAAATAAATAAATCCAAAATTATAAAAAGAATACTACAAGACAGGAGTAAGTGATGGCCACCAACCTGGATGGCTTTAAAAGAGTATTTGACAAATTCACAGAGGACAAGCCTATCAACAGCTGCTAGTTGTGATGCTGATGTTCTACCTCCACCTTCAGAGGCATCACACCTTTGAATACCAGTTTCTGGGAATCACAGGTAGGCAGAGTCCATGTGTGTTCTTCTGTCCAGCTTGCAGGCTTCCCACAGGTATTTCATCAGCTATTGTGAGAGCACATTCCTGGACTAGATGGGCTGTTGTCTGGCTCCAGTAGGTTCATGTTGTGTTCTCTTCCCCCAACCCTTACTATTACAGTGGTACCTCGGGTTAAGTACTTAATTCGTTCCGGAGGTCCGTTCTTAACCTGAAACTGTTCTTAACCTGAAGCACCACTTTAGCTAATGGGGCCTCCCGCTGCCACCACACAATTTCTGTTCTCATCCTGAAGCAAAGTTCTTAACCCGAGGTACTATTTCTGGGTTAGCGGAGTCTGTAACCTGAAGCATATGTAACCTGAAGCATATGTAACCCAAGGTACCACTGTGTGTGTGTGTGTGTGTATATATATATTGTATATATATATATATATATATATATATATATATATATATTGTATATACGAAAGCAAATATATATATATATATATATATATGTTTAACTCCAGACGTGACTACTTACCATGCATTAAAAGTAGCACCTGATTTGGCCCTTTTGTGTGTGTGTGTGTGTGTGTGTGTGTGTAAGTGTGTAAGAGATTTGGTTAAGAAACAATCATGTGGAGGCAGAAGAAGGGCTTGTCACTGCCATAAACTTTCTAATCTGGGAGCTAATGAAATAGCCACCTTTGGGAGGGGGCCAAAGAACAGCTGTGGAGGGGTACTGGGGAAGATGTCATTTACAGCCTGATTAATACTTCTGGATACCCCAGATCAGCAGTTTCATAGCTAAGGACATGACCTTCCCAGGTGCAGCAATGCTCTTTCCTGCTGCGCACACCTTGGGCCTGTGGGAGCGAAATGGCTGATCATCTGCTGATGGCGGAAAGAGCCAACATGAAAATATACAAGCTTCAATCTGGAACAAGTTAGGGGCATCAGCCTCTGCTAATAAATTATATCCCCACTAAGGAATTCTGTACACCAGTTCCCATCCGTTTCTCGCATAGGTTTGTAATGGGGGATGCGGGATACTTTCTGCACAAGGAAACGTCCTGTAATGTATAGATCTGCATTCTGTTAACATAACCGCAGAAATCATCCTTTCTCCTTCTATCATGTCTGGAAGTTACGGCTTTATGTACAGTGAGATTTTACACATCACTGCTGCAAGGGAGAAAACGTGCTTAATAACCTCAGTGTTTAGGAAACTCAACAAGGGAAATCGAAACACCTACAATCTAGCCCAAGGTGGAAAAGACAAAGCATCATTTCATCTTTCTGAGGATTCCTAGATTTCTAACTTTAGGGAAGGAAAATATATGAGCACAATCCAGAGAAGTGCTTTATTTAGTTTTTGAACTTTGAAAAAAAACAAAAACTTTTTGCAGCCAAAGTTAAAGCATTTATTTAGTTTCTTTAAGGAAAGCGAGGCACTGGTGGGCTTCAAAGACGACTGAAATTCTGAGCAGATTGATATCAGAGAAAAGGGAATTCAGAACAGACTGATAACAAGTCACAACTGTTGTTGGGGTGGGTTGTACCCCCCTGTTTATTTCAATCACTGGAGCTGATAGACATCAAAACAAAATTCCTCCTATTTTCAACACAAATTTGACACCCAGAAGCTAAAAGAAGAAATTTGTGCTCTTTCTGTCTGTGAGGTTGACTAAATCCTTATCTGGAAAAAAATAAAAGATTTTTTCTGTCAGCAGGAAAAAAATTAGAAAAATGAGATTTTAAAAGAAAGGGGGAAAATACTGATTGTTTCCAATCTATTCTGAGAAGAGATTTAGGTGGGTCAAGTGGGATTATAATGGGAAAAGACAGGGATTCTGTACTCAGCACAAGTGAACATAGAAATCTGATTCTGCAGGATTATTTTGGTGAGGCACCTGATGTTTGTTATGGGTGCTGGAAATTGCTGTTTAGAGGGGGCCAAACTTCAGTTCCCATGGTTCGTTGGAAGAAGCCATAACTGAAAGTGTGGCTGTGGCCTAAATGAGTGGATTTCCCTACATGGGAGTCACAGCCAATAAAGGATTGGACCTGTGCTTCGTATTTAAAGGGGGAAAGCAGCAGTATACACCAGCATTCTTTGGAAATGATGTATTTGTACACAGAATGCAGCATTAGTTGTCATTCTTGCATACACTGGCTATATCCCTATCGCAAGTTTTCCCCTGTGATGCTTAGGAACGCTCAGAACACAATGCAGTAATCATCACATTATGTGTGTTTCTTCCTACATGCCATTAGTTTGCACTAATGTTCTGAATTGCTTTGCAGAAAATAAAATAAAACGTTTGATCTGGATTTTTATTTTAAACAAAGCAATTCAAGACAGTGCTATTCTGCAAGTTGCTTCCTTTTTGGAATGATCCCAACTCTCCTTCTTTTCCTGGATTCTGATATGTTATACATATTGTAAAATAGCTTCATTCTGTTTGTCATTGATTCATCAGAGGAAATATGGTCATTAATTTCTCTAGAAACCTGAATGAAATGAAGAATTATAGAACTGTGTCTTCATTTTGTCAAAGCACCACTTCTGCAATTGTCAAACCATCTGTGACTTACCAGGAGAAATGGCTCTGTGTGAGCAGGGAACAGTTTGGCAGGCACTGGAGCAACTGTGATTCCACTTGCTAAAGTAATTTATTTAACATGGATGAGAGGATGGAAGAATGGAAGAGGAGTTCCTCTCCTCAAATATTTACCATCCCAACTTGGACTGTGAGTCAAACTCCCTTTTGTTTATGTTCCTACGGAGCTGATGGCAAAGATTGGGTTCCATTTTCCATGAGAGCTCCAGCATTTCAGATGCTCATAAGATTATAAAACTCTTCTGTGGGGACTGGAATGTTCATGGTTTGCTCCGTTTCAAAACAGAACAAAACATTCCAGGCCAAACTTAAGCCAGAACAGTTTGACCTTTGTATCTTTCTGGTTCTCCTATAAAGTCATGACTCTATTTGTGTGATGGTACAACTGGCATTCAACATCTAAGTTTTCCAGTTAGAAACTTAGCTGTTTCCCTGGTTATACTATGCTTGTGCGTCGTCATACACCTCACTTCAAGTAGTATTTTATCTAAAATTCAGTATGATGTAATTATACGATGTAATTGTATGATGTATCTAAAATTAAGTATGATGTCAGAGTGCTTTCTTTTTTGCCCTGCCACCTTCTCTGCCTTTTGCTCCCAATTCAGTGGTAAAGAGCAAGTTTTTTGGGGGAAAGCCCTAGGGAGGAGGGGAGCTCTCAGACATGGCACTTTAAAGTGTCAATCTGCAGCATGAAAGGAAGTCTGGATGAGCCCTAAGTTCTATTAAGGTCACTGGGACTTACTCCCAGGTAAGTCCCATTGACTGCAAGAAGATCAAACCTATCCATTCTGAAGGAAATCAGCCCTGAGTGCTCACTGGAAGGACAGATCCTGAAGCTGAGGCTCCAATACTTTGGCCACCCAATGAGAAGAGAAGACTCCCTGGAAAAGACCCTGATTTTGGAAAAGATGGAGGGCACAAGGAGAAGGGGACGATAGAGGACGAGATGGTTGGACAGTGTTCTCAAAGCTACCAACATGAGTTTGACCAAACTGTGGGAGGCAGTGGAAGACAGGAGTGCCTGGCGTGCTCTGGTCCATGGGGTCACGAAGAGTTGGACACAACTAAACGACTAATCAACAACAAAGTGTGTATAGGATTACAACCTTATTCCCACTTTCTCCTGTGTTGGGACGAAGGGCACTTCCAGACAACCTGTTTGTTGAACATTCAATCTGATTAGTTTGTGGGGAGGCAAGACAATGGGCTCACTCATGCCATCATGTAAAATTGCTAAAAAACCCACATTTTCCTTATTCACGTTGCCCCATTGTAGTCCAATGCACTTTCTTCATACTTGGATCAGACTTTTCTCTTGACCAGGTCCCTTTTTTTATTGGTTCTTTTTTCCTGTTTACTTGCCTCTGGCCTGCCCCTGCACCTACTTTTCCTCCTTCCCTGATCAAGTGAGCTTGGGCGAGTAAGATTTCATGTGTGTTTGGTCCTTGCTCAGTACCTGAGCGTGGAGCTCAGAGTGAATGTGTTCCCCAGATGGAAACCTATTCTACTCAAGTGTTATGTCTGCTAGATGCATTTTTTGCCTTTATTTAACTTAGAACCGTTCCTATTGCTAATTAATCAAAGGTACGAAAGGTGAACCAAAGCTTTCCAATTGCTTGTGTGCAAGTTTTTGGTACTGTTTCAAATATGGCAATATGTCATGTGTTACTAGTTATAATATATTTGAACTCTGGATTGTGAAGCCTGGGATCCAGCCTTCAGAGCAACTTAAACTGCAGGTGTCATCTTTGTGTAAAGGTCCAAGGTGATGTCAGGGCAGCCTGATCTAGAAATGCGCCATAAAATTTGATAGAGGAAACCATCTGGATATGGGGGGGTGGGGGGTTTGCTTTCCTACAGTCAGGGAGGAATAACTGTTTTATGCTCTAATCTCCTGATTTAGTTTTAGAATGAAATCGATCTTCTCCGTTGAAAGTTAGGCTGGGTCCAAGTTTTCTCTCAAGCATCTGCTTTTCCCTGTTTCCCACTTGCTTTAGAAAGGCAAGCAGTATTCTTTTTCTGCAAAAGAGCAAACACTCTAAGTGCTCATCAGAAACATCCAGGGATGTCATAGGCTTCCATTTATCCACCACATGTTTACTCTGTTCCTTGTAAATTCAAGCTGCTTTTACCATGGAACTTTGTGCTCTCTGCCAAACCTCCAGTACCGGAGACCAGTTGGAATGGGATTTCTTTTTTCACTGACACCAGACCAAACACAAATAATTAAGGTGCCATTGATTTCACCTGCTGCTGGATGGAATCTCCCTGGGGGCTGCATTACATCACGCCACTGCCCAAAACATTGCTTGCTGTTACAGACCAGGATAATATGTCTCTGTTCCATCATAAAGAATATAATGGCCACGAGTTTATCTAAAATATTCCTTAGTGAGTTGGCCACCTCTTTTTGCTCTGTAATGACATCCATTGCCAGCCAAAATTCCAGCGTACCAGAAATGATCTCATGGCTGCTCTGGACCCTTAAAAGTGACAAATTTTTCTCTCTATGCTTCCTTTGTGGGTTGGGTTTTAATGAGTAGGAGAGGATTTTGAGGAAGCCCAGCTACGAGGTAAGGTGGCTTTCCCCTTCTTACTCCGCTTAACAAAAAACCAGACAACAAAGTTTAAAAATATAATTAATTTGTAATCGTGAAGCTGAGGCTCCAATACTTTGGCCACCCAATGAGAAGAGAAGACTCCCTCGAAAAGACCCTGATGTTGGGAAAGATTGAGGGCACAAGAAGAAGGGGACAACAGAGGACAAGATGGTTAGACAGCGTTCTCGAAGCTACAAACATGAGTCTGACCAAACTGCGGGAGGCAGTGGAAGACAGGAGTGCCTGGCGTGCTCTGGTCCATGGGGTCATGAAGAGTCGGACACGACTAAACGACTAAACAACAACAACAAATTTGTAATCTTGCATTGGTTCAAAGCAATGGCAGAAGTAAGAACTATGCCGGCAAAATACTTCTATTTACAGTATAACCAGCTTCAGGCATTCGCCTAAAGCTGGAGCAAGCAGAGGCATTTCTGCAGCCAACGGTGGTCAAAGGGAGAGGGATAGGAAGTCCTATATGCTCCTTCCTCTCCAGGAGAAGAGGGGAAATTACATCACATCGAGTCCTCTTTACCAATTGTATTTCTATGATCTAAGTATCTGCCTATTAGCAAAGAAGGGGTATTAGCCCCGTGGCACTGTGGGTTAAAGCCTCAGCGCCTAGGACTTGCCGATCGAAAGGTTGGCGGTTCGAATCCCCGCGGCGGGGTGCGCTCCCGTTGCTCGGTCCCAGCGCCTGCCAACCTAGCAGTTCGAAAGCACCCCCGGGTGCAAGTAGATAAATAGGGACCACTTACTAGCGGGAAGGTAAACGGCGTTCCGTGTGCTGCGCTGGCTCGCCAGATGCAGCTTGTCACGCTGGCCACGTGACCCGGAAGTGTCTGCGGACAGCGCTGGCCCCCGGCCTATAGAGTGAGATGGGCGCACAACCCTAGAGTCTGGCAAGACTGGCCCGTACGGGCAGGGGTACCTTTACCTTTACCATGCTAACTAGCAAGAATATGCATTTGTTAGGTTTGTCTGCTAAATCTCCCACATCCTCTCCTTGAGGGGGGTCCAACATCCTCAGGTATTTTCCAAAGCCCCGGGATTGCCATTGACCACTAGATCTCTGTGGTTCACCTTAAGCCTGCTATCTCTGGGCAGTGGGGAGGTAGAGTTGTCATATTTCAAAATGTGAATATCTGGACAGAAAAGTTATTGAGCCTTTGTGGGGGGGGGGCATGCAAAGGAGATGGGAGTGAGGAGACCTCCAAGTTTGATTATGTCCCAAGTAACATCATCAGAAGCATGACGGCAACATTGTCTGAGTAGGGTATGAGGAGAGCTTGAAAATTAGCCAGTTTGGACCCCATCCAAATTCAGTACAGATTATCTAATTTTATGAGCACACAATCTGAAACCAGATAGGGGAGTCTCCCCCATCAGTAGTCATGATGACTGGGGCCTATTGCATACAGATAACAACTGAGTGTGCTCCCTTCCAATGATCCCTATTAATTTTGAATATATTCAGTTGTCTGCCATGTTCATGAGTGCTTTGGGAACTCGTGAACACTTGTCTAGGGTCACCTTGCCCTTGGCAGCATTTAGCTTTCAGTGCTTCTCTAGGCAACAAAATGAAGGAAAAAAATCTGTTTGCTGATGTTGGAAAACTAAGGATCTCCTTTCTCTCTGCAGACACCTGCATAATAACCACATCCGCAGCCTCGGAACCCACGGCTTTGAAGGACTCCACAGCTTGGAAACTCTGTAAGTTGTTTCATTTTCCTTTGTACCTAGCACTAAATCACCCATCCTGAAAGAGTGGGATAGTCACGCTCTGTGTATTCGTTCCATCTCTCTGCAAGAGGATCTAGAAAGGCTTGATCTCTTCAGCTATTCCATCCTAGAGCCAGGGGTATAGCTAGCTGCTCCAGCACCTGGAGCGGCGGGGGCCAGGCAACCCGCCCACAGGGGCAGGGAGAGCCGCGCATGAGGGCGCCATGGCGATCCATGCACGGGAGCGCTGTGGTGATCTGTGCCATGGCGCGGTGTGGCGATCCACCCAGGGGAGCAGGGCGGCGAGCTCCCCACGGAGTCTGCCTTGCGAACCCAGCCCCACGCTGCCGTTTCGGGCAGTGCAGGGCCCCGAGCCACCGCGTCACTCCCAGGAAAGATGCATGGCTCGGGCGCGCTGCAGGCCAGGCCCCGCGGTAAGTGCTGCCCCCTTCAAGGATGACGCCCGGGGCAGACCGCACCACCCTCACCCCCTTCCTATGCCCCTGCCTGGAGCTGAGCTAGGAAATGGCTATGCCATACCTTTCTGGCACTCATGCCTCTTTTTTTCTGGATATATTATCAGCACTGGAGGAATCAGAAAAGTTCAATAAGTTAGTGGTGAAACTTTTCCAGGCAAAGCTACATAATAGACTTTCTTACATCCAGAGGGCCATGCCAGCCTACGAAGTTGTGGGGAGGGGGGATTGGAGTAGACGTGAATAAGCATCCTGCTGCTTGCCTGAGAGAGACTGAGCCTTTGTAGGTATTTAAACTGAGGTTTTTGCTAGCCCTCTATTTGAATGCTTGCAAAAAATACCTGGCTGGGTGCTCACAAGGCATGCTCTGCTGCTACCTACCGCTTCTCCTGCTCTCTAAGGGCCTGGAAGCCTATCTGGGTCAGGTCATGGACTTTATGCACTAAGGAAAGAGATGGAGAAATATTCTGGGCAGTGTGGGACAACATTTGCTTGATGCAACCTCATCTAACCTCCCCGCAAACAGATCAGAATGAATGCTCAATAATTATCCACAGTTGTCTTATCTCCATGCAAACATCTCAGGATCAATGCTCAAGGAACAGGTTGTGTGAAAGGAACCTGGAACTATCAGTCTCAGAATCGCCAGAAGGAAACTGATGCTGTGTCCGACTCTTTGTGACCCCATAGACCAGAGCACGCCAGGCACTCCTGTCTTCCACTGCCTCCCGCAGTTTGGTCAGACTCATGTTTGTAGCTTCGAGAACACTGTCCAACCATCTCATCCTCTGTCATCCCCTTCTCCTCAATCTTTCCCAACATCAGGGTCTTTTCCAGGGAGTCTTCTCATGAGGTGGCCAAAGTATTGGAGCCTCAGCTTCACGATCTGTCCTTCCAGTGAGCACTCAGGGCTGATTTCCTTAAGAATGGATACGTTTGATCTTCTCGCAGAAAGTGGGGTTAAATGGGGGCAGAGGAAACACGTTGTTTGGATGCCCACAAAGTCATGTGGACTCTGTGACAATGCAGTTCTAAGTGCTGTGAAAATGCAGCATCCACCAAGACAACTAGAGCTGTTGCATCAAAAAAAGTTCTTAGTATAACATTCTGTTTTTTCCATGATGTTGACCATTGACTATACAGTGGTGGTGGTTGTTGTTTAGTCGTTTAGTCATGTCTGACTCTTCGTGACCCCATGGACCAGAGGACGCCAGGCACTCCTGTCTTCCACTGCCTCCTGCAGTTTGGTCAGACTCATGTTTGTGGCTTCGAGAACACTGTCCAACCATCTTGTCCTCTGTCGTCCCCTTCTCCTCAATCTTTCCCAACATCAGGGTCTTTTCCAGGGAGTCTTCTCTTCTCATGAGGTGGCCAAAGTATTGGAGCCTCAGCTTCATGATCTGTCCTTCCAGTGAGCACTCAGGGCTGATTTCCTTAAGAATGGAGAGGTTTGATCTTCTTGCAGTCCATGGGACTCTCAAGAGTTTCCTCCAGCACCATAATTCAAAAGCATCAATTCTTCAGCGATCAGCCTTCTTGATGGTCCAGCTCTCACTTCCATACATCACTACTGGGAAAACCATGGCTTTAACTATACGGACCTTTGTTGGCAAGGTGATGTCTCTGCTTTTTAAGACGCTGTCTAGGTTTGCCATCGCCTTTCTCCCAAGGAGCAGGCGTCTTTTAATTTCGTGACTGCTGTCACCATCTGCAGTAATCATGGAGCCCAAGAAAGTAAAATCTCTCACTGCCTCCATTTCTTCCCCTTCTATTTGCCAGGAGGTGATGGGACCAGTGGCCATGATCTTCGTTTTTTTGATGTTGAGCTTCAGACCATATTTTGCGCTCTCCTCTTTCACCCTCATTAAAAGGTTCTTTAATTCCTCCTCACTTTCTGCCATCAAGGTTGTGTCATCTGCATATCTGAGGTTGTTGATATTTCTTCCGGCAATCTTAATTCCGGCTTGGGATTCATCCAGCCCAGCCTTTCGCATGATGAATTCTGCATATAATTTAAATAAGCAGGGAGACAATATACAGCCTTGCCGTACTCCTTTCCCAATTTTGAACCAATCAGTTGTTCCATATCCAGTTGTAACTGTAGCTTCTTGTCCCACGTAGAGATTTCTCAGGAGACAGATGAGGTGATCAGGCACTCCCATTTCTTTAAGAATTTGCCATAGAAATCCCTGCTAGAAATGATGTAAATAACTTCAGTCTCTCAGTGAAAATTCTCAGGTTGACCATCACATTACCATCCTTTTCAGGTAAATATATTCTGTCATGGCTTGGGAAGTGCCCACTACAATATCCTGCCCTGATAAGTTGCTGGACCATTGAAGTGCAAGAGCAGCTGGTGTGGTGGGACAGACCAATGGGGCCTCGCCTAACTACTATGGTGGAAACAGCTTTCTTTTTTATATGATGGCCTAGTAAAAAATAACAAACGAGATAAATCGGCATTCCAAACATGAAACTAAGAGGCTCTTGCCCTTAGTTGTCCAGAGACCTTTGCATCCACTCCAGTAAAACAGTTCTTGACTTTAATGATGGAATCAAACTGTCAAAAGAACAAGAAGGACAAAATGGGGAAAGAGCCAGTAAAAGAGAGCGAAACTCGATCCCAGCATAAAAGTGTCATTCAAGGAGATAAAGCTGCCACCAAGATGTGAAATTCTGCCAAGGATGTCTGTTATCCCCAGAAGCTCTGAGCTAGGAATTAGGAAGAGGCAATATGAGAAAATATGTTTTCCAGACAATAGTATATATAATACGCTCCATTCCTAGAGCCTCCATTTAGGAAGGGGAGAAAGTTAATAATAATAATAATAATAATAATAATAATAATAATAATAATATACCCCACCCATCCATCTGGCTGGGTTGCCCCAGCCACTCTGGGCAGCTTCCAACACACATAAAAATAAAAATAATAAACATCAAGCATTAACAGTAACAGTCTGATCCAAAGTGAGCCATTTGTAATGCACTTCACAGACAGCAGTGATTGCTGTCTACACAGTAAAAAACAAAAAACAAAAACAAAAAAAGACTGTCTCTGGGAAGAACTTGGAGGCTAAAGTCTCTTCCTTGTATGGCAGGGAAAAGTACTATGCACATGATCTAAGTCTGTGCACATCATGTGTAACATTTCAAAATATATCTTGGAGTGAAGTTCTTGGATCACACAATACAGCCCCTTGGGGTGTCAATGTATAGCTCCCAGAAGACAGTGTGTGTGTGTGTGTGTGTGTGTGTGTGTGTGTTGACAGCAGTGTTATTTACGTGGGATGACTTACATCAGAAAAAATCTTTAGGCTGAAAGTCCTAAAGATGGTGGTATCTGTGCTTCAGTTCAGTCCCATAAAATCAAAGCAAGGACAATCCAAGCGCATTACTTATACCATAGTGCAATGGGGGAACCCTTATACTTAGCCACAACATTGTATTTTAAATTGTTGTAACCTACTCTGGGACCTTAGGGTAAAGGGTGTATAATCATAATCATAATAACAACAACAACAACATTTCACACCATATATATTTTCATTAATGCAGAGCCAAATTCTGGTGTTTATAAAAGTCACAAAGAAAATAATGTCTAAGATGCAAAGGTTCCTTGTGTGATACATTGTTATGTTTTCAAATATCCCTGTATTTCATATTTCTTTATTATTATGTGTAAACACTTCCTCAAAAATGTGGATCAGCACAGTGTCTGTGATTGCCATTCATTTCAGTGGCCATTATAATATTGCTAGGATTGAGCTTCTGAAATTCAGAAGACTTGTAGGTGCTCAAATTCAGTGATTTCTATCAATATGGTAAGGGGCCATATTGCTATCACAGTGAATTGGCCCAGTTCACACATGCAGGCAGCGATATGAGTCGACACACTGGTCCCTGTACAGTTCCTTGGGAGACTCCATTGTTTGCTTCTTACTGTTCTCCATTTTGTAAGCGGACCATTTATTCCAACCCTCTGCTTCCTGTTCTTTAACCATTCCTCAAACTCCATGACTCTTTAATTTGCAGAGGGGCCTTCAGTAGAGAGCTTTCCCAAAACAAAATCCAGCCACACCAGGTCAGCCCTATCTACATGTACATTGACAGTTCTGAAAGGCTAGTTGGGCAGGACTGCCTTTTGTGGAAGCCATGTTGATTTTCCTCAGCAAGGCTTGTTAATGTGTTTAACAATTCTGACTTTAATAATTTCTTCCAATTTACCTGGAACAGAAGTTACGCTTACAGATCAGTAATTTTCCAGATCCCCTTAGGATGAATTTAAAAAAAAAAAAAGGTGTTAACTTTGGCTGCCTTCCAATCTTCTGGTAAAGAGGGTGATTTTCATGATGTTGTATACTTTTCTTAAAAGATCAGCAATTTAGTATTTGAGATATTTAAGACTTTTAAAATAAATGCCATCTGGCCTCAGTTGTCCATAGACCTTTCTATTTACCCAGTTTGCTTTAACAACAGAATCAAGTCATATAAAGAACAACAACTAAGGAGAGA